ACACACACACACACACACACACACACACATGCACACACACACACTTCTGATCAGTCACCCCTTAGGGTACACCGAACAAATAAGCAAGTGACTAGGTCATAATTTCTTGTTTTTAAATACTTGCGATCAGTAACCAGTGAAACACACCCAATAGTGAAACAAACACGTAACTAGGAAATACATAGTTTGTTTTAATAAATACGTGTACTTCCCACCAGTCATCACTTATTGTACATCTAACAGATAAACATGTAACTAGGAAATTGTTTTAAAATTTTAAAAAAGAAAATAAATTAAGTAAATAGGTATCGGGTAGAACACACTAACAAACATGTCACAAGGGAACACTTCACTTAACCTGTTCACTGCTGAGTAGACGCTTGTTCTGTCTTGTATTCTCCACTCGTGTATTGTTTCATCAGGTTAACAAAAGAAGTTTTAGTTGCTGAAGTTACAGCTTGAGATATTGCTTATTCTGAAACAATTCTCTGTGTTTACATATTCCTTGAATTAAAGTGTATCTTGTCAGTACAGATGTTGATGGAAATTGTTCAGCAGTGATGGGGTTAAAGACAAACAAAACAAAAACTTTAAAAAAACCCAAAACCCATTACAAAAACTAGAATCATAAAAAAAGGGACGCTCCAGATCAGTAATTAGTTAAGATACATCAAACTGATAAATGCACAGGACGGAAGCATGAAGTAAGAAAACAAACAAAGAAGCTAAACAAAACAATGAACAAACAAACAAACAAACAAACAAACAAACAAACAAACAAACAAACAAGCAAACAAGGAACGTAACTGCCGAGTAACCGGAAAGAATGAAGACAGCACAACCCCACTCACTCACCTTGGTGCCGTCAAAGCGCGTAAGGATCTGGGGTGAGTAATACGACTCCTGCTGATCTGGCACACCGGACCACACCAGTACTTCTCCTGTCTTACCGCTCAGCAAAAGAATCCGACCCGACAACCGCTCTTTACTTCCTGAAAAACGAACATTGATGAATAAATAACTGTTTTTGATTGTAACTGTTTTTGATTGTAACTGTTTTTGATTGTAACTGTTTAAAGTTCTCACTTACGTAATTTAACTCACTTCATAATATATCTGTTCAAGTTTCGTCAAATGTCCACTTAATACAGTCATTTGATACATTAAATATATATTGTATTCTATTTTTTTTCTAATTATGATAATAATAATTATTATTAAA